TTAGTGAAATTTATGTAATTAAAATAGAAATCAGTATTAAAATCGTTAAAATAAATTAGTTTTAGGTTATTGAATTGGTAATTGATCAGTGCTACACAATAGTACCTATCGGGAGAGGTGACAAAATTTTCGGTGTAGACGATTCATCGTGTCGTCGTGTGAAAATTACAGCTGATGATGATGAGCGGTTGAATGTTATTGCACCTTTACAAGTAATTTTAAAAATTTTCGCATACTTTCATACTAAAAGTAAAAGTAAGTCAGATTAAAATAATTGCCGAAAAATCTACCAATGTTTTAATGTCTTGAGAATGTGATGTTGATGCATTTATGACTATTAAACAAACTTGTTGGCTGATAAAAAATTACTAAAAAAATATTAACTTTTGCTAGTGCTTCATTTTAAATTTCGAAAAGCATTTAAAATGCGAAATAATTTCTTTTTATTTTTCACTTAGTCAGTAATCAGTTTGCATACAATGGGTTGATAATGTCAGGTTGGTGGAATAGCCCAACTGTCCGAAAATGACCACTATCCAGCGATAGTAACAGCTTTTACGACAAGCTTCCAAGGTTGTATACGTAATTTGGTAATTAACAATGAAATGTACGATTTGGGTGTTCCGGATTACGCTAGTGAAATTCATTCACAAATGGGTTGTCAACTTACGGAAGCAGTGTGTGGTGCTAATGATATTAGTGGCCCATATTGTATTCACGGTGAATGTGTAGCTGATTTAGTGGTAAGTATTGTATAAGTTTTTGTTGATGCTATCATTTACTTAATCAAAAACGATTGTAACGCGAAAGCTGGATTAGAATGAGTAAAAAATAAATAATTATTCAAAAGTATCAGAGTGAAAAAGTGTAAAACGGTACTGTGGGATAATGTGGGAAATTTCCATTATTTATTCGCATTCTGCTAATATTAATTTCTGCAAAATTGTTTAAGAAGATAAGTATGCCACATTTTAGTCAAATGTGCCAAAATGCCAGTGTGATCCGGGATATGGTGGCGATCAATGTGAAATTGCATTGGAATGGGTAGAATTTGGTCAGGGGTCATTTGTAGAATATGATGTAAAGGTTGGTTTAGAAGATAAGACAACAGATGTGGATGTATTATTTTTACCGGGAAAAGCTAGTGCTGGCACAGGAGAACTTGGTTTTGCTGGTGCTGGTGATAAGGTAATACTAAATTTGTTAATTTCATTTTTAAATTATTGTTTCAGAGATTTGCAGAAAAAAGACTTTTACTGCTTTTTATATTTCAGCTCAGTACTACTACTTGAATATTTTTAAATGCAAAACATAACTTGTTGCAAAGTAATTACAGTGCTAGCAGGAAGTAAAAAAGTAAAGTTTTAGTAGTATTTTGTATGATTATATCATTTTAAAAGTTAGACTTTGATATTATTTAAAAAATTTGCTCATTTTCAGTATGTTAGTACTTCGATGGAAAATCATTTGCCTACTGCTAGATTTGACTTTAGTTCAACGTCTGCTAGCACATCTAGTACGCCAGTTGAATTACAACTGAATAATTTACGCCTTCAAGACAATAATTCTTACTGGATGCGATTTTCAAGAAGTCCTGTTCGGTTCGTTTTCTTAATAAGTTATTAATTTTTAAGATTAATTATAAATAATTAATTTGAATTATGGAAGTAATTATGTGTTAATCTTTTAATTTTTGTAGAGCCTCATTATCCATTGATGGAGTGTATCACGAAGTAGTGCCTCTGAATCCTCTTAAAGTTCCTTATCAATTTGATATTAATGAACTGCTTCTTGGAGCCTTGAGCGTTCAAGGGGCAAAAGGTTTTAAAGTAAGCATCGTACTTTCTGTTAGCTTTCTTGAATAATTTGCTCATTTTATAAATAATTTACAGCATGTTTGAAAAGATTCCATTTTCTTTTTTTAAATTATTCATATGCTATTTTAATATTCTTCGTTTTTCTCTTATTAATATTTTATTGTGTGCCAAAAAGATTGTTAAGCTTCTCAAGTAAAAAATTTTTTGCAAAAGTTATTCTTACGGAAGTTCTTGATAATCAGATATGAAATGGTCGATAAATCTAAGATATTGCATATTATGTTATAATAATTTACTGTCAAAGAATTTTTCCGTGTGAATACAGTAATTCTTTCATTTCAAAGTATTATGCACGATTGTCTTAAGGGTTGTATTGGCACATTTCGTTGGCAACACATTAATTTGCCTTTAATGAAAGACGACGAATTCTCAGATGACAATATCCAAAGTGATAGTGACTCCATCATATCAATAAAGCAATCAAAAAATGTGCAAAGAGGTTGTTCACAACGGAAAACATGTGCTAATGTTGATTTTGGATACTGTGGTGGTTCATTTGTTTGCATGGATTTTTGGAAAGGACCTTTCTGTACTTGTCCTGAAGGAGCTCAGGTAATACCTTTGCTATATGACTTGCGTATTTTTCACGCTATGATTATTTTTTCAGAAGAATTATTATACACTTAAATATTTATAAATTTTGAATATTTCAGGTATTACTAGGAGTTAATGGTGAATTAGTTGGTTGCGGAGAAACATTGGCAGTTAGCAGTCTTGGAATTTCTAGCCCTGCAATTATACTCATATTAATATGCTTAATATTATTAATTAGTATGCATTACTTAATTACCTTTTTACTTAATTAATTAATTTATTTATTTATTAAATGACTGAATATTGACACACTTTGTTTGATTCATATTAAAGACAATCTGATGATGTGATTTAAGCAGCCAAAAAAATACATAATAAAATAACTTGCAGTGTTGGTTATGTTAATGGTAGTATACACAAGGCATCACACACCACCTTTCGAACCAATTCGTCCAGAAGAACTTAATCGTGATAATTTGAGACCTTATGGTGTAGAAGGTGGTGGTGAAGCTGATAATGATCAGTATAATATCAGTAATCTGCGCAAACCGGTCATCCCAATAGAAGAAAATGGTATTAATGGCTATACACAACCAGTATATCCAGCTCAAAGGCCATCAATCGGTATTAAATGGTTTTTTGATGTAAAATTATCTGCCAAATATATTCAAACTTTCATTATTTATGTATTTAATTTTTGGAGGATATATTAGAGTGAACTTTTCTGTTAATGCAAAATTTTGGTTAAAATTAAAAACAAAAATTGCTACGTTTTTTCTCTCAGTGAGAAAATAAACTAAATGAAATTATTAATTTCAACAGAAAAGCAACATTACAATTTTTTCTGTATAATTTTAGACGACAAATTAAACAACAGAATCAAGAATCTGGAAGCAGATCCTGATGCTACTGCACCTTATGACGAATTGCGCATTTATG